TTTCAAAGCGTATAAATAATAATTAAATATAAAGCAAATTTGAACTCATATGGGCCTTAATGCTTCAAATATAAAGCCCATTTATAGCCCATCGAAGATACAAAAGCTTTCTAAATTTTTTTCGTTTTTTTTTTGAGATTTGATTTATTCGGGTGGGTATATAAAGAGTGACTTTGTTTAAACGATATTAAAATGTTGAGATAGATTTATACTATAACCATAAATATGATAGAATTAAAGTGTGGGGGATGAAAATGTATCATTGTTTTGGGAAAAGTTATGGTGACCTCTCTCCGTATTCCGGAATGCAATTAAATTTTGTTTTGTTAGGAAGCCTTGCCTATGATAACACGATCCATGTATGGGCAAAATGTGAATAAACTACAAATGAAAGATTAAGTTATAGTAAATGATGATATGTTTGTTAGTTGTACGCCCTTAACTATGAAGTGTAACTAAAGTTATAACTCACCAAGTAACGTTTCAAGAGATTCGTCAATCTATTGGTTCAAACTAGCTTTTGTCCTCCCCCCCCCCCCCATATAATGTAAAGATGTTTTTACAAAATATATAACGCCGTTTACTTGCAAACATTAACACGATAATGTAATTCATAATTCATTTTCCAAAGTTAAAAAAGTTCTGAATATATAGTATGTTGTAGAATAGTTGATCAAGTTTTTCTTGCTGCAGAAGTATATTTAATACCAAAATGAGTAGCTCAGCCACCAAAAACTATACACGATCATAATTTCTTTTCTTTTTTTTTTTGATAAAGCACGATCATAATTTATAATAGTTCTGTTTTTCGTTCATTATCAGCCTAGCTAATACATGATTTGGAAGGTATCAATGAATGGTTTATGGAGTGAAGATCTTCGAATGAAAATCATAAGTTATTATCTCTGATTGCTTAATGTGTCACATTTGATGTTGTTAGTTTTTACCGTTGTGGTTGCAGGATCTTCTTTAAGTCACTATGACCCGTGACCTATGTGTTACGGACTGTTACGGACACCATGTCTTTTTTTTTTCTTTCTCAACTTGTTTTTAGCTTTCCATGTGTTTGCAATTTGTTGATTTTTGTTTTCCCATATCTTTATGAGATGATAAAAAAAGGTTTCTGAAAAAATATAATATATTACACATTTATATAAGAAATTAGTAAGTATAAGAGTTTCAACAAGATGTATAACATTTTATTTATAAAATAAAATAAAAATTGACGTATACCATTTTGTAGTATTTAGTGGATTTGAAACATATCTTGTTTATTTTTTTTTGTTAAAAAAAAAAGATATATAAATCATTATTCTTTTAACTTTTAAATTAAAACAAGTAATCAGCTACGGCTAGGTCACAAAGATCAAGTGAGATCTTGTTTAGCATAAATTATTGACTCTCCAAAATATATTTACTGCAACCTTTACAATTTATAAAACAAAGAAATTTTAGTCTCTTATTAAAATATTTCCTCACATCTTTAGAAGAGACAAAAGGTTTAAGTAGTTAGATAAGAAAGTTTGGATTAGTGAGAGAAAGAAACTATAATCCAGTGGAAAATAAAATATCAACGATACCCAAGAAGAGAAAGTTTATTGGAATGTGAATGACTTGAGTGTGTATGATAAAGCCAGGTCATGGAGAGAGCAATTTTCTGTGATTTGATTCATTCACAAGATGGTTCAACCACCACCTACCACTTCTCATAGTGTCTTCAATAACTCTAAACATTTTACTTTATTTATCTCTTTGATTTGTTTCTTCTTTTGGTACTCAAAACTTTATAGACCTTGTGTTCCAATATTTTTTCAAAACAACCTTGATATAGATATGTGACTTTAAGTTTTTTGGAGCCACTCACTAAAAAGGTTTCTTACTAACTTTGGTTTCATGTATATTTAGGAAACTGAATTTTGTGGACGGAAACCACATTTACTAGATCTTCATGATTAAACAAAATTCAAAAGTAACATTTTTATTTTATCATAGAAAAACAAACACAATACTGTTATAAAAATGGAATATATAAGATCTTCTCCAATCTCCATTGTGCCTTGCAAATGAAAGTCTTACGAAATATACATTAGCTCTCTTGCACGCTTTCGCTATCGTACCTTCGGAATCTATTTCTATCAAAAGTCACCAATCTTTATTTTTCTTTTTCGTTTCCCTTCTCTCTCTAATTTTAGTGCAAAAGGTCAATTGCAAATGTCACCATCTTTTCTTAATATACATAGAATATCGAAAGAAAAGCCATTTCAAATGTCCAAAACTATGCACAACCACATGTTGTTTTTATGATTTCTATTATATAATCAAGTAACCCTCGCATTACAATTTCCCATATCCCTCCATAGATTCCTCTTCGCAACTCTCAAAGAGGGAGAGAGAGAGAGAGAGATTATATTGTCTATATATACACATCTAAGCGTATCAAATAAGACAAGAGGGACAACATCACACATAGATCTCTCTTCTTCATCAACTCAAACAAAGAAGAGAGAGTTGTGTTAATCTAACTTCAAGTTCATGCATGGGTGCGATGAAGACAAGATCGGCATCAGTAGGGAGATGGGTGAACGAGGTCGTGAGCTTCTTTGTGTTTTGTCTCTTAGACATCGTCGACTCTTTGCTCTGTCTTCTTTACAAAACTGCTGATTATCTCCTCGAATCAGAGTGGAAGCCTTGCTATTGCTTGTCTCCCAAGAAACTCATCACCACCACCACCACCACCAAAGGGAACATCGTCGTATCTCATAACAATGGTGAATCCAAGATTCTCACTGTTTCTCCCCTTCAACAACTTAGGTATTCATTTTTCTTTTTTTTTCTTGGCAACTAATTACAAAAAAAAAGGAAAAACATGTCATTTTAAGAACAAACGTGGCTTGTTTGTCCAACAACAACGCGGTAGAGTCCAAAATTCTCATTAGGTTTTGTTTTATTACTATATTAACTAAATCTTGATAGTAATAGCTATGCAAAAAAAGAAAGAGGCTTTAATATCTCTCGTACGTATTGTCCCTTTTGTCTTTCCAAGAATTCATTACCATCACTAATAAAGAGGATGCAATCTAGGAGTTGAAATAAGAAAATGAAATTTTAATTCCGTCTTCTAACCTAACCGGCTGGTTTTTGTCTTGCAGTGGACGTTCCAAGATTGAGCTGGAGGAAATTTCAGAAACTCTTTATTCACGTCCTTCTCTTCTATACGACCTCTCTAAGCTCTCCATTAACGATCTCGCCAGACGGTTAGTGAGCGTGACTCGGTCAAACTCCGAGTGTGGCGAGACGAAGACGAGTAAGAGGAAAGGGAGGACGTTGATGTCTAAGTTTACGGTGAGCTTTACGGTCGTTGAGATGCTTCAAGGCAAGATCAAGCCGCAGAATTTGAGCCGGCAAGTCTCGAGATGGTCGGATTGTGATTGTGGTTTTTGCACATGTTGGACCTCCACTTGTGTCAAAGATCAGTCCCTCTTTGTCAAAACTCAATTACCAAAAGCAAAAGGTATTCACATTTTCTATGAATATTATTGCAATTTACACCACAACAGTAAAAATCAAAGAAGAGTAATATTTATGATTAAATATTATTAATAAATACCTTAAAATGAATTAACAATAAATGTTATGTTTAGATATTTTCCTTAAAGAGTAGTATGGTTTATGTTATTTGTTACAACTGTAATATTTTTATAGGCAATATCACTGGGAGAGAGGACGTGTTGTTTATCCACGGCTTCATATCTTCATCGGCGTTTTGGACAGAGACAGTGTTTCCAAGCTTGTTGAATTCGAACTATAGACTATTTGCCGTGGATCTTTTAGGGTTTGGGAAGAGTCCTAAGCCTGCGGATTCACTGTACACGATGAGAGAGCATGTGGACATGATTGAGAAATCGGTATTGCTTAAACACAATGTGAAGTCGTTCCACATTGTGGCTCACTCTTTGGGTTGCATCTTGGCTCTTGGCTTGGTCTCTAGGCATGGTGGTTCCATTAAGTCACTAACCCTTCTCGCTCCGGTTAGTTAATACGCATTCATAAATATATAAGCAATTGAATTGTACACGTGCATGTAGTGTTAACATTTATATATAAGATTTATTGAGGTTTGACACGTTTGCATGTATGGCGAAGCCGTACCACCCCGTGCCGGAGACGGAGGCGGAGCCAAGGCAGTACGTGATGAGGAAAGTGGCGCCACGGAGGGTTTGGCCACCGATAGCGTTTGGAGCGTCGATGGCTTGTTGGTATGAACACATTAGCCGAACCATTTGTCTCCTCATCTGCAAAAACCATCGTCTTTGGCAATTTCTTGCCAAACTCATCACCCGTAATAATAGGTACGTACCTACTTTTTTCTTTTCTTAAAACTTAATTGTATATCTATTATATTAGACGTGTATATATGATTGTGGGTAATAAATGAGGTAAGGTTGATTAACAACAAGTTACATCCAAATCAAATAGCTAGCTAGATATATATTGACACAATATGAAAATAGGAAAGACTTAGGCAACCTAACGATGGAGTGTTATTTATGGAGTCATGGAAATGTAAAGCTAAAAGCTATTATTGAGTTCCAACCTACCAAACCTATTAGTGTTAGTTTGGACTTTGGAGCATTATGAATGTTACTTTGTCACGCCTATCTTATGCTATAATTAACTCTATTCCATCTAACTAAAATAACTCTTTCCAATATAAGGTATACTTATAATTAACTCTATTATGTCTATGGTATAATTAACTCTATTATCGTTGGAGATATTTGGGCTAAGAACACTAAAATAACTAATGATCAGATCCCTAGCTAATAATATAAGTGAGTAGGTAGGACTGTAGGAGAACTTAATTAAAGCGAACTAAACATGGACTCCTACTTTGGAATTTGTCATTAGTATAGTTAAGCTATTTTAGTCTCCACTTACAGACCTTAATATGACTCGAACAATCTTGCAAGTCATTTACCCAACTAAACTGAGCTATTTTCTCTCTGCAGGACAATAAATTTTCTAATAGAAGGGTTTATGTGTCACACGCATAACGCAGCGTGGCACACTCTACACAACATAATATGTGGAATAGGAAGCAAACTGGATTTGTATCTGGACATGGTACGAGATAATCTGAAGTGTCATGTCTTCATCTTCCATGGAAGAGACGATGAGGTCGTACCCGTTGAGTGCAGCTACAATGTTCAAACTCGGATTCCTCGGGCACGAGTTAAGGTTGTTGAGAACAAAGATCACATTACTTTAGTTGTCGGAAGACAGGACGAGTTTGCTAGAGAGCTCGAGGAGATTTGGAAGAGTTCTTCTTGCTAGCTAAATCAAGTTTGTGATTACTAAGCCCTTACAAAAATTAAGACGAAACCCTTGCGATTGTTTTTTACGTGTTCAAGAAGTTAAGATGTTATGCTACCTCGCTATTATTTTATCTCAAGAGTTTGATGCTCTCAGAAGGAAGAAAGAGTTCAATAAAATATTTATTTTGCTTATCGTTTGATTTAATAAGAATAATATTATGACTTGCTTATGTGTTTTAACTGGTGGTGAGTCCCAATCTAGTATTTCACTACTCATTGAACATAATCAAAATTCAAAATGATAACGATCAAAAGAAGTGCTTTATTATACAAGACTGATTAAACCATAACAAAACACTAGTTTTTGTTTGCCACAAAAAAAGAAAAGCCCACTAATTTTAACCTGGGAAAATGTCTGATTTCGTTTCACCATAATAAGAGCAATGAAAAATAAAATGAGCACAGCTCTCGAAATTTCGTTTTTTCCTTCTTCACCTGTGCTTGCGTTTCAATGGTGGCATGTTCCTGCTACTACCACCACCACCGCTGCTTCTACCTCCTCCACCACTTGGTCTACCGCCTCCACCGCTGGGTCTACTACCTCCACCGCTGGGTCTACTGCCACCACCGCTGGGTCTACCGCCGCCTCCGCTGGTTCCTGGCCGCGAGTTCCCAAACGCTTTCATCTTCCTTCTCTTCCTCTCTTCCTCACTATCCGACTCATCGCCATGCTCTCTGTCTGCATTCGATGCTTCTCTCTCGAGCTCGTCCCAAGTCTTGCCTTTCTCTTCTTCTTCCTCTTCCTCTGAGTCTTCTTCTTCTTCTTCGTCGTCTGACTCCACCAGTGACTCACTCTCCGAAGCATCATCCTCTGATTCAGACTCAACCTCTACATCTGACGGCTCATAACCTTTGTCCGACTCCTCAGAGCCGCCGGATTCTGAATCGCTCCCGTCCAAGTTCAAAAACTCCCATCCTCCATCGTCAACAAAGCTCTGTGGGTCATCCGTGATAGTCTTCAGGATCTGTCTCCAGTTCAGATTCAGTTTGCTCTCGTAGTACTTGATGTCGGTAGTGTCGAGCCACTCCTTGATCCCTTCTAGAGAACTGGTAGGAACCGAGTCAATCCTGAGAACATCTTTCTTGAAGTCCTTGAAGATGATGGCCATGTCGAAGTTCTTCTGCCCAAACCCAACTCTCTCGAGATTCACAATCTCAATCTCACTCAGGCTCACCACCAGGAACGGCGTGTCTATGAGCTCAACTAAGCAGCTGGAGGTCGGGATGATGAACGCAGATGACTTGTGGGGAACACCATGGAAACCGAGCTCTCTCAGAGGCTGATCGAACTCGAGGTCCAGGCTCGCAAACTGGGGTAGTTGCCACATGTCGTTGACCCGGTTAGCAAAATGATTGAAATCCATGTTGATCTTGTTCTTCCTCTCACGTTCCCTCTGCTCTTCATCAATCTCGTCTGGATCATAGGCTGATCTCCTTACACCTCCTAGAGTCTGCACATTGTCCATCACATCCACAAAAAACTGGACGTCCTTTGTTTTCTTGGTCCCTACCATGATGTGGTTGTGCAAGTGAAAATGCAGGATGGTGGTCATCTCCTTCTCAGCCGGCTGGAAAAACGCATGCTTTATGTTCCCAAACAGGACATCCACGCGCTCTTCAGACCTAGTAGTCGAATACCTGAAACCATTGGCATGAGCTTCCAGTGTCCCAGGAATCCTCTTGCGGCCACTAAAAGGAGGACGAATCCACAGATCAGACAGCCTGAGGGGTTTGAACTTGTTTCCCGCAAGCTGAAGTTTCTCCTGTGTCACCAGAGTCGCCCTCTCAGCTCTTTCAGACTCCCGAGCATTGACTTGCCGTCTCAGAGTCTTAATCGCCTGAACCACTTCGTTGCTATGCCTTGCATCCTTGGACCGGAACGAAACCTCTTTAAGGTAGATAGCACCCTGGTTTTTCGTTGTTTTAGGGTCAATCGGGTTAAAGGGTGTACCGGGGACGTTGAAAATGATACGGATGTAGCTATTCCGGTTGGTATCTTGCTGCACCGACACTGTTCTTATTGTAGCTACATGGAATGGAACCATGCCACCGTAGATGGGTAACAACACAGCCTCATTCCTCTGATCAACCTGGAGCATCAAATCCCGAGGTTGGGGCATGTCGTTAACGTTCTTGTAGGCAACCAAATCAGATGAAGTCTTTGCATTAGACCGGCTGTCTCCTGCCCCAGAACTGTCACCAGCAAGCCTTCGGGCAGTTTCTTCATTCTTCTGGCGTGCAAGCTCTGCCTGGTGCTGCTTCCGTAGCTCTTCTTTTGATACCGCATGATCATCCGATCTAAGAGTTGTCTTCTTGGGAATGTAGCTCTCAGGACCGCTGGACCTGGCCTTCTTCCTCGGCCTATCTTCTTCTTCATCCTCTTTGAACGAGTAAGCCACATCCTTGACTAATTTGGAGCACTTAGTCAAAAGCTCCGGTTTCTGATCTTGCACAATAACAGTGTCGGCCAGCAATAGCGAGAATTTCTTGCTCTTGCTGCGGCTTTCCGACTCACATTCTAGGTTCTGGAAACCAAGACACACATTGAACACCATATGCTGTCTCAATACCTTATCATTCTTCGCATTAATATTCAACCCAGACTCTCGGAATTCAAGACCAACACCAGTCCCAGCAGATTTAGTTAGCTTGTCAGCCAACTCAGGGGCTTCCTTTTCAACCACAGAAAGGGCAGCTTGATAGACAGTGTTTATCGTTCTTCCTGGCCTCAACGCATTAATAGCAGCCTCATGTGCCTTGAGAAGAACATCATAAGCCTTGCTCTGGAGAGAATTCGCATCTATTAGGTAAGTCCTGGCGACGTTAGAGCAGTAACTATTATACCGAGCACCAACAGCACAAATGATGATACTCGCAGGGTCATAAGTGAGCAGGTCATCATTGCTTGCAGCACTAGGCTTGAGATCAAACTTCCCTCCGCTCTGAAATATAGGAGGATAGCATATGTCAACATTTTCTGCCCTCAGCTTCACGTTGGCTTTCGTTGGCTCAAGTATCGCTTTCTCCGTGACGTCCATCAAGGAAGAGTGGGTGACATCTTTCTCCTCATCAATGACATTCTCAAGTTTTGGAACAACCACGTTTTTCATCACGCTGTAGGCTAAATACGCAGCTTTCTTCACATTAATGATCTCCGTGGCGTCTTTCACAGCAAAGAGATCAGACAATCCCCCAGTTATATCTACAAACTGGAAGTTTGCATTCTTTAGCTTCTCAGTCCATGTCTCCAGAAACTTGCCTTCAGGGGCTTCACGAGCAATGTGTCCTACAACTTGGGAATCTTTACCATCACGGGACAGATCACGGATGGCGCGGAATATGGCATCCATCTGCACCGTTCCATCATCAGCCTTGGCCTTCACATGCATAATAATCTCAATCCTCAAGTCAGCAAGAGCAGGTCCTTTCACAACTTCAAGCAGAGACGCCTTGCTCTTGCTACACAAGAAGTGGATCTGCTTCGAGGTAAACACCATTATTGTATCCGGAAACTCATACCCAAGAAGCCAAATGTTCAACGCCGACGATTTCAGGTACCGCAGATCATCAGAAGGAGGAGGGGTAGCTACGGCAAGAGCGTCCGCAGAGCCCCATATGTCTGCACTGTGCTCATTCCAGTGTGCATACAAGGCTTTTGTACGTGAGATGAAATTTGGGACATCTATGGCGTAGTTATTCCCAGCTCCCGGGGGCGCTCCTGCAGGTGCTCCTGCGTTACCATTACGAGTGTCTGCCATCTGAAGAATCCAGCAGAAACTTAAGTGAGAAACAAGTGCCATATATACTCAGAAAACAAGAAAGTTAACTACCAGAGATATGAACAGACCTAAAGGCTAAAGCTTTCACTAATCAGGGATAAAACAGCGTAATACAGACTGAAACGGGACAAGGAATCGACCAAAACTTAATCACAGGAAAAGTTCAACGATCTTCAAATCGGCATAACATCATATATGATAAACAAATTTCCGAAAAACGTTAAATTGAGGAGTAATGTCGCAAAATTAGATATAAACTTCTTTTTCAGAGATTAAATCTAGGGTTTCATAGATTGAAACTAAGTTTAATCTTAAATTTAGAGTGAAATCCACCAATTTGACGAACCCAGAAGAGAAAAAAATAAGATTTAGGGGAGAAAATAAACACACCTCGAAAGTCGAATCGAATCAGAGGAATCTCAAACAAAATCAGGGACGCAACAAGAAGCACGCCGAAACCCTAGAAATCGAAGAACGAGGAACAAAGCGATTAAATTACTGGGAAATGCTGCGAAATCAAAACGGGATCGAGTGAGAAACATGATTTTATACTAAGATTCGAGCCAAATAACACGAAAAAGAGATCAAAATAAGTTGAATCCGAGGTTAAAAACAGTGAGAAATCGAAAAGGGGATGAACGGGAAAATCAAGGAGATGCTTACCCAGAGAGTTTAACGACGGAAGATAAGAACGTGGTAAGCTCCACACGACGGCGGTTAAGCCGCGAAACAAAGAAAAAAAAGTTCCGGCGAGGCTCTCGTGAGAGAGAATGACTCTAAGCTAATGGAGAGAAACGAGAGGGACCAAAGAATGGCTATTCTGCGAGGCAATTCAGAATGGGGAAAATACTTTAATTTTATATTCAAGGCCCCGCCTGTTTTTTTTTCTCTTTCCCGTAAACACCGACTTAAGGCCCGTTTTGGCCTTTAACATATTGGGCCTTTAGAACAACTTATAAACGCCCATTAACATACCCGGTCAATTTAGTAAAATAAGTTCTAGAAGTCAAAATGTGTTGGGTTGGTAGGGTTGATATTCTCTTAAATTACATGGATCAAAGTCACAAAATTGTAGCTTCCCTAGAGAAGACTTTTGTAGTCTCTTTCTCAGTCACTCTTTAGTGTTTGTCTTCTATTGGCTTTAGCCAAAGTCAAATCAAATGCATTCCATTAAACAAACGATGAGTCAAAGTCACATTATATACTTGTTCAAAGTTCAAACGATAAAATCCATATGCCATCGAAATAATCTAAGTTTTATTTTCCCTTAAAAAGAACAGTTCCTTCTTCTTATTCATCATATATTTCCAATGGATCCAAGACTGATCGCATCCACTCAAATCAGAAGCATCGAAAAATTGTATGAGGTTATACATGAGAATCCATACATTCTTGAAATCATTGATGCGGTACCTTTCATCAACACTCCTCTACATGTAGCTTCTGCTTCTGGAAACCTTCCTTTTGCCATGGAGTTGATGAATCTTAAGCCATCTTTTGCTAGAAAACTTAACACACACGGGTTAAGTCCATTGCATCTTGCTATAGAGGAAGGTCATACACGTTTAGTTCTAAGTTTACTCAAGGTTGATCCTGATCTTGTTCGTCTCAAAGGAAGAGAAGGTAATAAAATTCTCTTAATTATTTATTGGCATCAAATCATTAAAAACTTTCCTAACCATTTTACTTTGATCAAAATTTATTTACAAAAACTAAAAGGTTGAAATAGCTTTGTTTATGAATTAAAGGTACGACGCCGTTTCATCAAGTAGTGAGAAGAGGAGAGACTGATCTTATGACAGAGTTTCTCTTAGCTTGTCCCGGTTGCATTAAAGATGCAAACGTGAAGGGTGAAACCGCTCTACACATGGCGGTTTCAAACGATAGATGTGAAGAGCTCGAAGTACTCTTGGGATGGGTCCAAAGACTTCGTCAGGTGGATGCAGAATCGCTAGAGATGCAGTTTTTAAACAAACGTGACCAAGAAGGTAACACAGCCTTGCACATAGCAGCTTATCAGAACAGATTCAAAGCAGTGAAGCTACTAGTAAAATGTTATGCGGTTAACCGGAACATCCATAACCGGACCGGTTTAACCGCTCTAGACATCTTAGATAGCCAGAGAGAGCATCACACAAACAGAAAGATCGAAAACATTCTTCGAAAATCGGGAGGTAAAAGCGGAAAATCTCTTCCAAAAACCAAGAAAGTGTCGGAAATATTGAGATATCCGATTAGTTTCACTGAGCATTTGTTCACGCAGACAGCGAGGTATAGGAACCAGACACCAGAAGGATCAAGAAGCGCGCTTCTAGTGATAGCCGCACTGATAATCACAGCTACTTATCAAACAGCTTTGCAGCCACCAGGAGGTGTATACCAAGCAAATGCATCAGATCATGAAGGTCATACTAATAGTAGTAGTAAGAAGAGTGTTGTTGGTACTGTGGTGATGGACCAGAGATATTTCTATGTGCTTCGGAGTGTGAATAGTATGGCTTTCGTTGGAGCCATTTTCATGGCGTTTTGTTTGTTACCAGCTGGTGAAGGCTACGTATGGTCGTTTCTATGGATAGCAGTGCCATTGTATGTTTCTTACTTGGTCTCGATGTCGGTTATATCTACAGATACAATGTGGTTCTTCTCGGTTAGTGCCGGTTCGGTTATAATCGTTGTTCTTGCGTACATGGTTGTGTTTTTCTTGCGGTGGAAACGGTCCAAGAAGAAGATACCTGGAACAAGAAGCGAGTTGATTCTTGAAGGTTTTACAAGTTTGGATATGGCCAAAGGAGTGGAGTGTATGTGAAGCTAGATGTGTTGTTGTTGTAAAAGACACAAACTAAATATATGTTTAATTCAAGAGTACCCTTAATTAAAAGATCACTCCATGAGATTATTATTGTCCACATACACCTTCACAAATCACCTTTGCCCCTTTTAGAAGACTAATCCAATTTTAACCCTTAAATGAAATAGATATAGTTTTGATTAAAATCTTAATTAATTGACTCCCTCAACATTTTTTTTTTTCTCAACTCAACTTTTGTTCAGTTGGTCATCTTCCTCTCTTGCCCGATTTCTTCTTCTCCGGCGGCGAGAAAGAGCACTCCTTCGCCGTCCTTTTTCTCTTCTCCGTTCTCGTCCGCGAGCGCTCGCCGTGCTTGCATCTGCTCTCCGCTCTCCTCGTCATCATTCGCCGTCTCTTAAGTCGTCCTCTGTTCTCATCGTCTTTCTTATCCGCAAATCACTTGCTCTAGTTACTCACAAGGTTAGTATGCTGGTTCCTTGATTAATCGACATAATTTTTTAATTGAAGATTGGGGAAAATGATTTGGGGTTTCTTAGATTTGATCATGATTGCAATAGTGGCGGGTTGCACAATTTTTCTTTTTAAATTGTGGTTAAAAGTGTTGGAATTAGCTTTTGCATATTGGAGGTGTTTGGCTCAAGGGATGGATACAAGCAATGTCAAATCTGGGATTGTTTGATCTAATTCATCTATAATCTCCGTATAAATTTGGGATTCTGCACACTCTTCTGTTACAAATTTGCTGCTTCAACACTAAGTAGAATAGCTTATAGTTAGTCTGTTATGTATCTAACGGTTGTGATGTTTGAGGCAGTCTTTAGCTGAATTTCTTCTGTATTTTTGGTTAGAGGGCTTTCTGTTGAATGAATTAACATCATAATGACTCCAACAAAAAAACTGAAGCTTATTCCGGTGAATGGAAAGTCGCCAGAGAAGACGAAGAAGCTGCATGCTTCAGGTGAGATGTCAAACTTTGAACCTTTTCCACTGAAGGGAAGAGGCGCTATTACGAACACATTGATCGATGATTCTTGAGGATTGTCTCTTTGGGGATGTTATGTGATCCATGGAGTCTTGGTACTTAATCTTTGTGTTTTCTTCAGGTAATCTTTCTCCGTTCAAGAGAGATATCGATGAGCTCATAGACGAGTTTGTGGAGGTACTTTTGTTTTCTTTCTCCATCTTTGTTAGCTCTTTCAAACTTTTTTCAGGCTTTCAGATTTGCTGAGTCTCTGGGTTTACTTTCAGGGTGATTTGACAACGTTTGATGAGATGAAGAGTGTGTGGCTATCTCGAAAGTTTTCTTACATATTTGAAGCCATTCCTGACACCAAGTTAGCCTTTTTCATGCAGTCACTGTATGCTCATACCATCGGTACGCTTGAGTTCTAATTCATGGATTTTTGGAACACTCAGAATGAGTTATCTGTTGCTGTCTGTTTTCACATTATGCTTGTTTTCTTAGCTAAACTCACAAACCAACTTTATGTTTACAGGTCACATGGTTAGTATTGATTCTTTTTCACGGAGACTTGGAGGTCTTTACTGTCTCTATTGCCTTCATGAGATCCAACCTTTTAAACCCAAGTTCCGGATTTATATCTCACTTCGTAAGTGTTTTCACCATTTGTTGTAAGCTGCTGTGATGTGATTTATCAGTTTGGCTTTTGCTGATTACAACATCATTTGTAGTTTTATATTCTAACTGAAAACTTGTACGGTTCTCATGTTGCAGAAGAGCTTGGAAAATTTAGGGATCTTGTAGTTGAGGCAAAAGATAAAGGTGTAGAGATAGCTACTGTTGTGGCGAAACAAATGCTTGACAAAAACGTGTTTATATTTGGAGCTGTGGACGTTAACGAAGTGTCTGCAACCGAGAAACGCTATCATTTAACAGAGATTCAGAACGCATGTATACGCTTAGCCTATGGAAAGTATGTCATCTTGTCCCTTAAAATTCATTTCTGGTCTTAGTTTTTGAATAACATTTTTTAGTGATATGATTCTCATCTTCACTTTGAACAGATTAACCTCTGACACCGAGATTGAGAAATTCATTCATTTGGATATGGTGAGTACCACACACATATTTGCAGATATCTTCAACAGTGTTGATTTTGTTATTTACTAAAGTTTTCTCCATTGTACTTATCTTTGATGTTTTGTGCTTATCAGGGTAATGAAGTTGATCTGAGTTCTCTACATAAAAGGTCTATAGAGTACGCAGAGGCCAAGAAGCGTGCTATCAAAAGTATGCTACTCCATATCAACTGTTTGTCTGCAATTTTTTTAATTTCTCCATACCACTGAAAGGGGAAAATTGTTAAGTTGATTTGATTTGGAGCTCTGTTGTGATGCATGTGTGTTTTGGTTATCTTAAAGGTGCAGGAGAAATAGTGGAGGTTGAGGACATAAAGCACATATCCGAAGAGAAAGAGTTGATGGGGGAGAGAGTGGAGAAACTGAAAGAGGAATGGGATTCACAAAGATGTTCATTCTATGAACAAACCAAGCTTGATTCTTTTACGGCAACGACAGAGGAACTTCTGAAGGATGTTGAACATGATGAGGATGATGGGTTTGATGAGCTTGATCACCTACTTTTCCATAGCTGATAAAAGTTTTTTTGAATGAAAAGCTCTTTGTAGATATGCCATTGACATCGTATCTAATGATTTGTCTTCTCAATAAAGTTTTGATCAAGCAATATCATAGATTCAGGTTGCGTTAGAAAGCTGTAGATAACAAATAATTTTCCCAAACTGCTTATAATATGGGACAAAGGGAGTATGAGGTTTAAATGATAAATAATTTCATATTAGAGAAAACAACACTAACAAACAATTTCAGTTTCTGCTAATAAATAATTTCAATTTCAGTTGTTTTCGCTGAAATCTTATCTCTTTGTGTTTAATTTCCAGATACATTTCCCCAAACTGCTTATAACATGGGACAGAGGGAGTATGAGGTTTAAATGATAAAGGTACGACGGAGTGTGAATAGTATGGCTTTCGTTGGAGCCATTTTCATGGCGTATTGTTTGTTACCAGCTGGTGAAGGCTACGTAGGGTGGTTTCTACGGATAGCAGTGCCATTGTATGTTTCTTACTTGGTCTCGATCTAGAGATACAATGTGGTTCTTCTCGATTAGTGCTGGTTCGGTTATAATCGTTGTTCTTGCGGTGGAAACGGTCCAAGAACAAGACACCTGGAACAAGAAGCGAGTTGATTCTTGAAGGTTTTACACCTTTGGATATAGCCAAAGGAGTGGTTTGTATGTGAAGCGAGATGTGTTATATCTCTATAAAATATGAATCAAACTTTGTTATAAAAGAAACAAAGTAAATATAAGTTGATAAATCACTCCATGAGATTATTAATAAAGAATTTGGTGGGTACAATACAACAAATACATCAAATCAGGTTTCATTTACAATCCACAAAAATAAAAGATGAGAGAGCCTATATTAGTTACTAATAATACTAATACAACAACAACAATCAAAGAAACTTTCTTACTCAAAACGTAAGACTATATAACTTATATATTAAGAAAATACAATGACAAGGAGCTTTCTTCTCCATTTCTTCTGTATATGTTTCTCCTGTGCCAAACATATGTCCCGAACTCCCGATGATGTCTGCTTCTGCACACACAGAACAACTCAATCTGTCCTTCTGCTTCCAATGGACAGAGACGTTCTCGGTTTTGTCTTTTTTTTTTTAGTGTACAAAATATACTTATCCTCTTCTCCTCAAGCTTCTGTGTAGCATAGTGTTCCGGTCTCTGATTACAATTGCTCGCGTCCGGTAAATAATTTCAGTTTCTGCTGTAGCTGTAGATAATAAACACAGAGATGCTTGATGATTATGATGGTTCAGAGATCAGATTTGTTCTTGGGAGATCAAGAGTTTTTTGAACTTACTTGATTGTGTTTTGATTTTTCTTCTTCAAGTTCTTCTGTCACCTCCATCATCCTACATAAATTGAATATTTGAGAAGTAATTAGAAAGACTATACCACAATCGATTCTCTAACAAGAAGGTTTTTGGTTGATCAAAGAAGAGGAACAACAACCTTGCTCGAAGCTCAGAGATCTTGGTAAGTAGTAACCTTTCTCTCTCAGAAGCTGTTGGTTCAACAACCTGTGACAAAATCAAAGAATGTGAAGGACATTGATTTTGAGACTGCTTATAGAGGTTAATGTGAAACTACTTACGGTTCCATTACTGTCAGGTCCTCGAGGCAAAGGTGGCAACTTTCCATTTTGAGAACCTACATAACAAGGGATGAGAGTTAAGTAGTTAACTATCTCTTGCATGCTCGATATAACAAACAAATTGGAATTGAAATGTCTATCTTACCATCTGTTGTTACTTCAGTAACTTGTAAGCTATTCAGTAGATTCATAATAAGATCCTGAAGTTACAAAGTTCCGTTAAGTACTCTACAATCAAAACATAAATGTCTCAATACAACTTTTTTTTCTTTTACCTGTTGTATTGAATTTTGCAGGAACAGATTTTGAAGCTGAGGCATGATGAATGAGGGAGACACAGGATGACTATTTAACTCCTTGATGGGCTGACACGTCGGCTGTTGCTGGAAAAAATATAAGATTTGTTACGACTAGAAAACAGAAAACTCTACGGACTAAAGGAAGCCTTTGTGGTAGCAAACTGACCATTTTGGATTCGAGTATCCAATTCCCAACACTAGCAGATTTTCTCAGCGGGGATGCCTGTAGATTATAGAGTGTAGAATTATCATCATTCTACACTGATATCATCGAAAGAGGAAAACGAAGAGTAGGAGAAGATTTTTATCATATACAGACCCTTGCAAGATCTAAGTTTTCTGATGTTACTGAAAATCTTCCTTTGATTTGAACCACATTAGCCTTTGACTTGTCATCGAGAGAATCACGGAATCCTATTTAAGATTGAGAACGACTCTTAAGTTAACTGAACTAGATGGATGCAACAACAATAATGAGCTGCAGTAGACGCAAATGTACTTCCTTACCTCCAGAAGATTTAATAGGAGCTGAAAAACTGTTTGCTGAAGCACGGTTTGGAAGATTCAATGGACCACTAAAGCTAGGTGCCTTCCGGACTGATGTGGGCTGGCGTTCACTCTCAGGCCTAGCAAATAGTAAATTTGAAGTTAGAGCATTTGAAAGAAAGGAGAATCAGAGATCTCAAACGAAAATAAGCAAATAGGGAGAATCAGATCTCAAACGACAATAAGCAAATAGCAAACCTTGCATAACCATGGACCTTCCCTGAATCCGTATTGGTTGACAAAATAGCGGGTGAAAGTGGTCCACTCTGAGTCTGGCGTCTCACTGGCTTAGCCTTGGCCTGTGGAACGTCGTGCTCTGAACTTGGTGCCGTTTGTTCTGTAGAAGAAGCGGGTTTCTCTTCACAGATCGGCTCTACCACTTCCGTATCTGAAACTTTTTCTTTTCCATTCATGTTTTCAGAGAGCAGTTGACTAAATACTTGCTCTCTGTCATTCACCTGCAATGCGTTTCTAACTTAAGAACCACCATGACACTTTGATACCAAGGGAGTGAAGAAGTATAAGTTTGTTTTTGAATTACTAACCTTATTATGCAACTGTTCGCCAAAAGGTTCATCTTCTTCCTTACTCTCTGTTAAGCTGTCATAATCATCTAGCTATTATTGCACCCAAAAAAAGAAGAATGTAAGAACATGATTATTTGATGGAAACCAATGGTTTCTCAAATGGCATCATCCAAGTGATAATATCAAAGCATAGCCTACCAAAGAAGCTTGTTCTTTCAAATCTTCAAGGTTGAAGTTCCAAGCGCTTACTCCTCTTTGATATTCACTCTGACACGATAAAATTAACCTTTTTTATAAGCATTCTGCAATTCACGTCTTCAATAATAATAAATTTCAAACTTGTGCGGTTGTCAATGTCACCTGTGATATAGCATCTTGGTCAGCAGAAGCCATTCCTTTCAACGCAAGCTGTGCAGCATCCTTGGCCTGTCATATACAACGAATCTATCATCTAGAGTAGAGCAGGACGAGCACAGCAA